TGACGACAACGAGCCGGCAGCGGGTTGCGCGGGGGTGAGCTCGGGATATAGGCGCGCTCCTTGGCCCGGCGCGCAGCGGCAAGGGCGGCTCCTGGGCGGCCGGGGGGGCGCGCGGCCGCGGTGAGGGGAGAGACAAGGGTAGTTCCACTTTCTGGTTTCGGGGTATAACTGTTGGTAGCACTTGCAAACCCCCGAACAAATCGCGGCTGGGGGCGACCTGTTGCACTACAGGAAATTGCGTGGTGGGACGCATAGGGGAGGGGCAGGCGGGGGCAAACGCGGGTTTTGCTGGTGGGCGTGGGTGCGGGAAGTTGGACGGGGACGTGGTTATTTGGCTGGGCGGCACTCCAGGAATAGAGGCCTATAGAAGAGAAAAAAAAACGGCTTTCCTGGGCAGGAGCACTGTTGGATGGATGTGCGGGCGGCGTGGCCGCCGAGGAATACAATTATGTGAGGATCGCATTGTTCCCGTTCACCGCTTTGGTGGCTGGCATGAAGGGCTTTGCGACGCGCACGTGCAATGACCAGATCAGGCGGGGGGCACCGGTTTGCTGTGGTGTTTGTGGCGGCCACACAGCACGAAGTGGCGCGAGGTATGGTTGCACACACCAACCTCCATCGAGGGTAGCGCGCGGAAGGCGGCAAGGTGTTGCTGCAAGATGGGGGCGGGATCGATGTTCCCAGTCCGTGCCCAGAATGGCCGTCAGGAGCAGCAGCAGCAGCAACTCTTAATTCAGGGGGCCGGGGTGGTGGCAGGGAAGTAGGTGCCAAGCATGCTGTTTGACTTGGTGCAGTTGCTAGTGCCCGAGCCGCTGCTAAGGCCATGGTCAAAATTTGATGTCAAAGTGGCATCATGGTCTGAGTGTTGTTGGGTGTTTTTTGGTGCTTGTTGCATGCGCCCCGCAACCAAGTCTGCTAAGAATTTTTTTGGTCGAAAAGGTGCTTGGGCTACAAGTTGCAACTGCATTTGTTGTTGAAGTCAAGAGGCTCCCATGCTTTGAACCAAAGGATGCGAGAGTGACACCTGCAATGAACTCACCGTGCATGTTATGTTCAAAACCTTCCCATGACCCCAAGACATCATCAGGCACAGGAACAGTGAAACATCAGTGCACTTTTTTCCCCGCACCTTTTTCCATGCACATCCGGTCGATGGCTAAGGGTGACAGTGGTTATGACAGTTTTTATGCTAGCCTGTCCCCAGACTTGTTGACAGTTTTTATCCTGGCCTGTCCCCAGGTTCGCAAAGTCCAATGGGTGGGTTAGGTGGAGGGGAGACGGCTGGCAGTGCACTTCACTGTGCAATTGTTTGCTACCTACACTGTCCTGTGATGGGTGTTTCGGCTGCTGCTCCTGTTTTCTTTCGCTTGGCTCGTCTCAACACGGAGCTTCGCCAAAGGGCGTGGCGCCATAGGCGACGAAGTCAAGGAGGCGGCGGTCATCCGGCTGACTGCAGGCGCTGTGGTATGGGCAAGCCTATCAGGTTGCGGAAATTTTCTCGCAACTTCCACACCATGTTTTGACCTTGGCGTAAGTAGGCGTTGCGAACGTGATCCACCGCCTTTTGCGACGAGACCTCCCAAGGTAGACTTCGGACAGGCCGTGGCAGCCTTTTTGTGATGAGGGGCCCACTCGATCTATGGTTTCGCAGCTGGCTTCGACTGGCCGGGGAACGAACTGGAACATGAACGTTATACCCGCTACAAACACCCATGCGTATTTCAAGCAGAACGTCACCACGTCCGGCCTTTTTGGATTCCGACCTCCTTCCACCAGACCAGGCAAACCCAAAATGTTTGTCCTCCAACGGTGCCACTCACCTTGATGAGCATTGGCCCCCGGTAGTTTCAACAGCTGTGAGACCGTTGCCAGGGCGGACCATCGGCGCTGAGCGCGGCTTGCACAGGCCTTACGCTTCGCCGTGCCGCAATTGGCTTCTGGGCGGGTGGGCATGTTTCACTTTAACACCGTGGCACCATGTCACCCGCAGTGTCGGGCACCTTGTCCAAACCAAACAACCATCAGTCAAAACATGCCACGAAAACGGGTTAATGCAAGACTTCGTTTGGATCTGAGCTAGCTCCCTGCTTGAGAGCCAGGGCGGACAAAACAACTTGACCAAGAAACAGCCTTGTGAAGAGTGGGGCAGCCGGCAGCCATCTCTTTTGGTGCGTAGGCACCGGCACCATCGAGGAGGGGTGTATGGCCGGATCAGCCGCGGTGACGAAGCAGAAGCAGCAGCGCGAGCGCTTTCCGAGTGTTGAGGGCGAAAGGTGTGGTTGGACATCCTGTTGCCAGTCCTTCCCTTGGTTTTAGGAGACGTTTGTTTTTCAAATTTCCATGGGGTTTGTCAATGTGACTTTGCTGCTGCCACCATCACGACGGCAGTGTTTGTGGTTGGTTTCCCATGTTTCTGTGCCCATGGTTTGCTTGAACTCGGTAGTGTCGTCGTGCTGGTGTTGGTGTCGGGGGCCCTTCCTTATTTGGACAAGGCTTTGCCTGGCATGTGCGATAGACAGATAGATGGATAGGCCAAAAAACCAAAAACCACAAAAGCCAAAAGCCACAGAAGCCACGAAAGCCACAAAAGCCAGAAGCCACAGAAACCAAAAACCACAAAAACCAGAAGCCACAGAAACCAGAAACCAGAAGCCCCGAAAAACAAAAAAACATCCAAAAAAGAAACAAAAAATCCAAAAATAAGTACCCCTCATACTTATCTATTTATCTATCTATCTATCTTTCTTTCTTTTTTTTTCTTTTGGCAGCTGTTCTCCTTTCTCTTTTTGTATTTGCTTTTCCTGTTGTTTTCGTTGCAGAGACGAAACCAAACAAGGAAGCAAGCAAGCAAAGCAAGCAAGCAAGCAAGCACGAGCTGCTCACCTTTGGATCTGGTGTGCTGCTGGGGGGCGCTGCGCCCCCCC